AACTAAAAATAAATCAATAAAAAAAAAGTGAAAAGTTGGCGATAACCGGTCATTCACGCGCGCGTTCCTACATCTACACCTATATTGTAATTATACTGATAAAGAGTGTAGATTGATTATATTTAACTTATTGAATATTATCAAATAATCAAGAAATAAAACACCGGAATTGAATTCAAAATCGAAAGTTCTAAACACGCGTTTAATAAAAAAAAAGGTTGCATATAGATACATACATAAAGTATTTCCATAATACWCACATTTTATATTGACAATTCAGTTTCAATTATTTTAAATGGTAACATTATTTTCCAAAAACATTAAAATATTTGTCAACCCCTTCCAAAAGTAAAATTGGTCTTCATATTTGTCTTAAAATGGTAGGCATACAGCGTACATACCTAAACATATACATAAACTATGGAAATAAATAAATAAAACCTCAGCAAGATATAAATCCTTCAACTGACCTTCAAATAATTACTATTTATAAATTCACAAAAATCGTTTTCTGTATCATAATATAGTGTATTATTCAACTCGAGAGAAGTGTCTATATATAATATATAGTATATAGAATATACCTACATCCTACATAACCTTTTACATATACTATCCGTTGTATTGTTTTAGTGGCTATGTGTGTTTACAAAAAACAACTTTTTATGTGCAAACACATAAACGAGCAATTAAATTAATCTACTTATTGATTTTTACTCTGTCCATGAGCAGGTTTATAATTTTGTATACACTTATAAATTCACGTGTATGTATGAGTGTATAGTTATAATTATATCTAAGAAAAAAAAAACAAACGCAATATGAAAGTCCCACACATCGCATGCATCAACATGAAACAGTTATTATCATCGCTTTAGTAAATCATTATTTTGTTTCTCAATACTAGTCACTACCTACCTGTGTATTATAATAAGGTATTATATGTATATTATTATATTATATACCTAAATAATAATGATAATACCTATGTATATTATATATAAGTACCGCCTATAATTGATATTTGTTTAATAATTCCAATATGATAATGAAACCTGCAGCAAGTCAATATTAGTATAATGATGCCAGAGGACAAAAACCCGTGGAAAATTATACACAATATTGACTATATACAGTACTATTATTAAATACAAATATTATATATATTATGGTATATATACGCTTGGGTAGTAATTGGTCTAATGTGAAAAGTCACTCAACCAGTACCTGATGGTAATTAGAATAATAATATGATGGTTGCCAAATCATATGCAATTAAATTATCAGTACATATCAGTATAGAACAGTATAGATTATAGAATTGCATTTAATACGAACGAAATACCATCTTGTTATTATCGTTTTAATATTTAACGTGATATATACGAATAATAGATTAATGTGTATAAATATTTTTCGCACAGCTTCTATGAATGAAGCMTTTTTCCACAAAAAAATTCATCTATCACATCAATATGTTATGTATATAGGTATTAGGCATGTACAAGTATATTATACGCACTTTTTAACGTTTAATATATAACGTCTCGGCACGAGCTAATAATATAATCGGTACGTAATATGTATATTTAGTACCTATACCTAYATAGCATATACTTATATTGTATACCTATATATATGATTACAAAAAAAAAAGAGTGATTCGATGGTTTTATCAAGTTTGTAGTCACGCAATTCACGGAGGAATTTTTTGTATATGAGTATAATATATATGTATGCATGTATGTATGTATGTACATATTTTATACTGGCACTCTGTTTGTCGTTTTTTTTCTTTTTTTATTACATCAAATCAGTCATACCAGCTCGAAGAGCTCCCTCGAAAATAAGTTTGGAAGTGCTCAATGCCCCTCGAGAAGTCACTTATTATTTTTATGTCGGGCCGCGTACCCTCACCGCTACAGTCCCCAGTGGCGGAACTAGTGAGTTATAAACCACCGTTGCGTGGAACGTGGACTTAAAGTCGATATTAATGAACACGAACAGTAGGTTCCCGTGTATATATGTTATATACAAATATACAACTATATTATACCTATATATATATTATACCATCAACACTCGAGGGACGGGTTGAAAGAATTACCTTTTCCCGCGTTTGAGTTGAGTTCGCAAACACAATATTATACTATAAGAATACGAGTATAGTAATTTTAGGTATACCAGCTATATTTAGCTGATATTAAGAAATATTAAAATACAAATTAAATTTTTTATTTTTGTTCAGTTAAGGTTGAAATTGTTAGAAATTAGTAAAATCATATAACAGAGTAGCAGGATATTCAAACATTACATCAAGCTTAAATTGCAATTCTACATCATTTATGTATATGGTACATACATATTTTATATTGCATAGTAATATTTTATATTGCATAGTAATATATTATATTGTATTTTATAGAATTCAAATTTATTACACCTACATCAAACATGACCGGATGTCTAGCTCCAAGTGTATGTATAATATTATATTATTATTTTCAGATATTTAGTAGGTACTAATATGGTACTATACTATGATTATTTGATCAATGATTAAGTGAACCTCACTACTATCGTCGACGCTGTGGTAAAATATTATTTCTTATTGTTGTTGTGTCTTGTGTATATTTGAGTAGGTATATAATAAGTGTAGCATTACAATAATATTATAATATGACGTATAGTAAATTAAACGTAAACAAGGAGTCTATAGTGGATGATATTTAGTTTGTGTGCGACACCTAACCTACCTATATCAAAATAAAATACATACGATTGTGTTTTGTGTGTTTTTTTTTCATTTTGTATAAGTTACGATGGTCGTGTTTTATATAAATATACAATATAATATTATTATCTGATGGAATAGAAAACAAAACATCATAAAGTATATTTTTGTGTCGTAGGAAATAGGAATTCACGTGTACATTAGTACCTATACACTATTCTTATATTATATGAACACAACATATGTAATGATAATTTAAGCACATATCATATTAAATATTAATATTATCTTTCCAAACAATGCATAATATTTTATGTAGTATTACACGGCGCGTATAACAACAGCAACCATAACTATAACACGAAATTGTGTGTAAGTGAGTATTCGTATATTGTGTGCATTAATGCCTATACATAATAGTGAGCTTGTTACACGTTTATAACGCGGACAATGGGTCCGACGGTTGTGAATCATTTAGAAGTATAATATAGGGGAATAAGAGTATCTATACCTATAACTTAATAATAAATTATTTTTAATAATAATAAAAAAAAACGAATACGTTTAAACGCATATATGTACCTATTATATACATGCATGAGTGTATAATACAATCTAACTATATATATTATAACTATGTGAAAAACTTATGCGTTTTAAAAATTAATTGATATTTATATGATAATGTCATCGAGCCTCTTCTGTAAGATTACTTATACGTAATCTGTGAACCACAGGAGTACAATAATTATATATATTATTACATAATACATAGGTACTACGCTGTACCTATTATACTAGTATCATATTATTAAACTTATATTAAAAATATGAAATAAATAATATTACATGTCGATTGATCGAAATTATYTTAGTACCTACGAGTTTAAATTATTTTTTGGTTTATTCATTTTTTTATATTAAATTTTTTAACTAGTAGGTATAGGCTAATATATTACTATATAAGTTGTACGAATTTTCGCATTACACTTGTACGTTTATAGATTGCGTTATTCATAATATGAATTTAGACAGATAATGTAATAATAATTAAATCGTATAATAAAGGAAAAGTAAAAAATAAATCGTAACGGATGGCGTACGATGGACATTGGGCCTGCGGGGGCCATTATCAAAGGAATGATGATGGGGTAACGATAACTATCACATACGTATATCGTATAATATAGAAGTATATGGAAGGTGGTTACCTCGATCGAGCTTATACCACAGTTGCAGGCGTACCAAGGATCAAGGATTTATAGAACTTCACTGTCGAATTTTCAAGTACACGCGTAGGGATGTATTCCAGTGAAGATATTCTGAACCAGCCAGGTGCCCAGGTCCTAATCGTGGCAAGCACAGTCGAGAAAAAACACTGACCATATTATGGTTTACGGTATTACTCGTGATGAACGGGTAACCTAGCAGATAATAATTTCCGTCAATCAGTTTCGTGAAACTGTCGTTATACAGTCTTACAGCCATTTTTTTTTACAAATTCACACAACCTTCGCGTATATTTTTGTCAAGCGTTTTCGCTTTTCTTATCTGTGTTTACCTACGTATGTATAAATGTTTTTAAGTATTGTTCGAACTTATGGCGATAAGCCAAYCGTTTTCGTGTCGTTGTCGTTGTTCACAGTAAGTAGTACCTAACTTTATAGCGTGAACTGTTGTTGAKTGGTAACGTTCTTAATCACTTTAGATCCGATGATACACTATATGTGCCTGTTTCTGGAGGATTATGCGCCTCAGGGGAATGATTACCGTCAAGGTAAGATGGGCAAGATGCACAGAGTCATCATAGTGCATTAGAGAAGTTCGTATTATTCAAAAGTTTTTCCTTGTTGGAATAGACCGTTCCATACTTTCATACACATAATTATGCATATTATGGTCCAACAACCAAATTACTTAGAAATAATTTAATAATTTGCATCAAATAAAAGTATGAAAGTAGGTTTGAGAAATTTCAAAAACTTAGGTAAAATATTAAATAATCATAATTTTAGTGGATCATATAAACATGAAATAGTAATAATATAGACAATAATTTAGCGACATGTCGATGGTGAGTATATTTGGTGTAAAGTTACATTTAAGAGTACCAGCTATATATGTATAATTGTCAGGTTTGAGAGASAGTAGATCAGATCGTTTTCGGTGTTGTGACTAGAGAATTGGGAATCGCACAAGTGTGAYGCTCATATTGCTCATTTGTTAAACTATAATTATTTCAGATATTATAATATTATAATATTACACTTGCCGTACCGCAGTCGTGTAGGTTCGTAAAGTTGGCAAGCTGTGGGAACGGTGGCAAGACGGCAGCGGCGGCGGCGGCGGTGGCGGCTGCGGTGTTGACGTGATGGTGCGGCATGTAGTGGAACGGTGGCAGTGGGGCAGACGGCCCTGGGAATATGCTAGACGCGGCCGCTGCGGCCGCGGTGGCCACGGCGAATGACTGTTGTTGGATCAGGTACGCGTACAACTCCGCGTATCCGTTGCTACCACCGCCATTATGGTGATGGTGAGCACTGTGGAGGAACTGTTGYTGGTGATGATGATCGGCTAGCTGAAGCGGTTGTCCCGGTAGCAGACTCACCGGCGGCGGGTACCGGCGATGAGGCCGTTCAGTCTGCGTCGGCGGTGGTGGCGTAGGTGACGACGACGACCGTTGAACATCCGGTGGCACGGCCTCGTCATCCCCGACGTCTCGGTCGTGATGACGATGGTCGTCGTCGGACGAGTGTCTTCTGCAGGCGCCGCCCGGGGCGATGATGCTCTCGATGGTGAACGGTTTGGGCTTGTGCTGCCGGTGCAGGTGGTTGGCCATAGACGCGGAAGTCGCGACGGCCGCCGTGGTGCCGCCGATGGCGGTGTGAATCGACGGCGGTGACAAAGACTGTTCGGTGCCGATCGGCGACGTCGCTCCGTCCGCTGACATAACGATATTGCTATTGCGGTAGGGCGGAAGTGGCAGTGGCAGCTGAAGTCCGACCGGCAATGGGCGCAGTGGTGGCGAGTCGGTATCAAAGTCAGCGACGGCGGCCGATGACGATGACGGCCTACCAAACGTAGCCTCCAACAATGCCCGGTCGGCGGCTGGCAATTTAAACCTCTTACGGCGCCGTAGAAACGATCCATTCTCGAACATGTCTAGGGCGTGCGGGTGTAGAGTCCAGTACGCTCCTTTACCCGGCTGGTTCGGTCGACGGGGAATCTTCATGAAACAGTCGTTGAATGACAGATTGTGTCGCAACGAGTTCTGCCACCTGAAACACGGGTTGAGTTATAGAACATACAGTTTAGGTGAATTAAATATTAAATATTATATTATATTATATGACATCATATTGAATTATATTGTTATACAATAATTTATAATATTAGTTATGAGTCATAAGTCATAACTTATGACTTTTGATGTTAAATTTTAAGTTATAAATCTAAAAARAAGTGAGAAGGTAACCACTCTACTGTACGGTAGGTGTCCGAATGTATTTTGCCGATGATTGCATCACTGTATATAATGGACCAATATTTTAATGATATAATTACAAATTTAAAAAAGCTCGTATTTTTTTCAGCCAAATATGCTAAAAAGCACACGGTAGTTTATTTAATTTTGACCCATCAAAGTACAAACTATATCCTATCTACTATATCTAGAAAGCTCCCTCAAAGTTGAAATGATATGGGAGCATTTTTTCAACTAAATAAGACGTTCCTTTAGAGCTCAAACACACTATAACGTTGTTTTTAAGAAAAAAATCCAAATAATACCGTTATAAAATTAATTCATCCTTTTACTTTTTAGGCACTTCGCATGTTAGACATCTAACATCAAAGTTATATATTTTGTATATTTGTTGATGTATGAATTGAGAAGCGTCGTTTAATTAATTTTTCAAAATTAAAATGTTCACCTACGGTGATAATAATTTATAAGATATAGGCATATCATACATCGTATATTATATAATATTATACATTTATATGGTTTATTAATTGTATTATTTTTATACTTAATGTTAATGATGCGAAATAATTAATCATCCCATCTATACTATAACTATATGTTATATTAAATGCACCTATGTATTGCATAGTATATTGTTCGAAYTAAAATTTCACCTCCCCCCTCCCCATCCCACTAGGAATTCACCGTGCCCATGGAAGTGCGATTTAACTATATACAATAGAGATACGAGGTTTTAGTCATTGTGGTTTAATCTTTTAAATTTAATTTAGTAGTTTGGTGAKGCGCGGTCGCCTTCGGAAACGCACTGAGTGTACGTACCTGCCACAGTATAGCTAGCTCCTGGATGGGGTGATCATCCGGGATTTTTAGCAACATATCCTTGCCACACATTACAAAATACGTGTTACAATCTACCAATAGTACCAATTTAAAAACCTACAAACAAATACACAAAAATAACCCTTACCGTATCACACCACACCCAATGGCCTATGTTACCGCGGGTTCCCACAAACAAAAAAAATTTTAATTTATGTGTGTTAGTGTATTATAAGACTATATGTATAAAATATTTGATAGATTTAGGTAGAAATAATATTTAATTGTATTTTTTTTACTTGTAAGAGTACGGATAATATAAGTTCGATGAGGTATTTCTCATATCTGAGATATATTACATTACCTATATATAATATATTTTATACTGACAGAAGCGCATTTCCACGCCAAAGAGTAAATTTGAAACTATTTAGATACAGTTTACTCTAGATTCTAGTAAAACCAAGTAACAACTAACAGTCGTGTATAATAGTACTCGTATAACTTTTTTTTAAATAAATAAACACATCGGTTACCGATTTAGATTTTTTTGTGTTAAATCCTATAATTTTATTGTATAGGCATACAATTAATAGGTGATAAGCGATATTTAATATATAGTATTTAATATTTAAACTTATATTGTAGGTACCACTGCTGTAACAGCCGTACGTAAAATAGTTATACATTTAGGCACCTATACGGTTATTACACTATATGTTAGTTTCTGCAGTATACAACTATCAACTATTATCCATAACTATAGAAAAGTCTGAATTTAATATAAAAATTAATATAATTCAGCGTAGGAACTGTATTAAAATTACTCAATTTTTATATATAGATACCGTAGGTAACTAAAACAATTTGGTAGGTAACCATAAAACATGAGACAAAAGTAATTATTCAAATATATATAATATATATCGGTTATTACGCGACACCTTGTATAAACATAATATATTAATATGTGGATTTTGGTTTTTATTACATTAAACATTTTTGAAATATGCATGTGAATAAACAATTGCATTTAGGTATCAACAATTTTCCGATAARGGTAAAAATGCTGCCGTTATACAGTTATTATATATAGTAAATAATAGGGAAAAAAATGTTTTTAAAATATACGTGCATAACTACAATAATTTATAGTTATAAGAATGCTTAAATTTGTCGACTCTACTCGTATACCATTTTAGTGAAATATAATACAGTATGAAAAAATTATATWTTAKAATTATATATTCGAGCTTAATATGTAATTCTACCATATTTCGTGTGATAATTCAAATACAAAATTTTTATTTGAATGTAAAATTATGTAATTATATTTTATATCCACATATATATAATAATACGAGCATATATTTATTATTMAATCAAATCTGGACAATAGACAATAACGTTTCTATTATATCCTATGTATATTGTATAGACACGAGTTATATTTGAAGGGCAAATTGATTTTTTTCTTGTAATCGTATTGTATATCACGTGAAATACCTACAGTAATAAAAATACATAAGAGTTGTTAGTTTTCTTATTACTTACTTATTGCAAATAAAAGAATAGGACAAATATTGATATATTATTTATTCTTGAACTTTATACCTAATACTTATACTATATAATGTCTATGATAAAAAAAAAAAATAGTTTGAAAATATTTAATAGGTATACACAGAACAACGATTATTTTATGATCATCATTTTTTTTCCCAATCTGATTGCATTCATACTCAATAATAAATGGGCGTAATCGATAAGTAACATAAAAATAAAATTTGACCTTACAATTTTTGCACCAATAAGTTCAGTGTGAATGGTTTTTTTTTTTTTAATCAGAAATGCAGTGCATGCGTGTACTAATTGTATTTAATTTTTAATCTCGATTAAATGCAATTTCATCATTATATAATAATATATGGTTGGAGCTACGTTTACGTAGGTACCTATATTATGCGAATACGATTAGCTATGCATATATCTGTATTTCTTATGTATTTATAATAACGTAATATGTATTTATATAGCTATAATAGGTAGATATACATACGTATTAATGCATGCGAAATAAATTCATTTTTAATAAAATATAATATATACTGTTATATAATTGCAACGCTAACATTTTTTCAATTTGTATACACAATATTATGTAGGTCCTCGTAGATAATATTTTATAAAAAAAAATGATGCAAATATTAAGAATAAAATTGGTTGTTTTGTGAAAAAAAATTACAATACACATTACAGTCTGTGGAATATGAGAAAAATTAAAATGAACTGAGAGTTTAAGAAAGGATAAAATTTTCAAAACTAAATATAAATAGAATACCTATCCTTATACACAATATTCGTTAGTATTAGTTAGGGTCTTAGTATTAGTATGGGTTTTCAAAATATGTTCTCCAATTTACCGGAGCGTTGCCATTTTGTAGCCTACAAAAGATTTAATCTAATTATTATTTAGTTTTTTTTTTTATTATTATTAATAAAGCTACCAATAGAAAATTATTACAGCTTAACAGTTATCAAATAATTTAGTTTATTTAACCAAAATAATGCAATTCGCACTATATTAATTTCTGCGTATTTTGGCATTCACATTATAATGAATTAAAGTAAATCGGAGAAATTACAGATGAATTAAAGTTGAAAAAAATTGGATTCTAAATTATTACATAAATATGAGGGATATGTTGTCAAGATGTTTAACGAAGAAGTGCACTACTTTTTTATTTTTTATTGAGTCAAAGGAAAATATCAACAAATTGCAAACAAATAATAACATTATTTAAGGCAAATACCTACCGTTTTAAATAAATTTWAAAAAAATAAAGTAAGAGAATAGAAAATTGTTTACCTTCTGATTATGTTTAAGTATTATTTATACTTCGAATAATTTTAAAAAGGTTAGACTGAATAGACCGTGAAAATAGATTCATCATAAATTTTGAAMTTTAGATTATAAGTATGTATAGGCCTGTTCATATTTAATTGTATAAAAACAAGGTAAGATGCATGCACTTATGATTTATGCATTCAAAAAATAAACAAATATACATTAAGATTTATGAACATAAAATTAGACTAAAAATTATAAATTGTACTCAGTACCAACACGAAAATTTAGACACCTAATAAAATCAACTCATAATTATGTTTTCTTATCAACAAACAATATACAACTGATGTAGTTGAGTTTTATGAAAAAATAATTGTTTAAGATAATTTAGGTATAAAAATAACGTTTTCATATTCAAATATCATATTTACAAAAAACATAGCCACATTATAAATTGTTATTAAACAATAGTATAAAACGCCAAAACCATATTATATAGGTATCTTCCCTCAATAAAATCAGTAATAAAAATATGTTGACATATATAATTGCATGAATTTATTATAGCACGACTATACCATCAAAAATGAAGTGTTCAGAATGGTAAATAGTTATGTATATTACTAATATCTTAGACCAAATTTTGAACTCACTTATTGTGAATTCATAATGATATTTACAAAAAACAAACAACTGTGGGAAATCGTTAAATTTACCGCCTTGGTAATAAATAGGCATAAAAATAACAAAACTGATTGGTAGATAAACCTATAATTTAATTATTTTAGATTTCTATAGAGAGCWAATTTAATATTTAAAATTCACGATACATATATGACATATAGGTATAAATATTAGATTAAGATGGTACCTATAGGTAGGTACTTACCCATGTATAGTATGTATACATTTCCACAATATAGCTATTAATTATCTTATATATATATTATATATAATACTTTTTAGATCATTAAAATAGACTAATTTATCATTATTCAAGGCTATTGAGAAAATATGGCGTATATTTTTTTTACTTTATATCATTAATAGCTGGTATACCTATACCTTATAATATGATGTACCTATACTTTTCCAAGTTGATAAGACTGCGCACGTATGTT